GTTCCTGGCAATGTCCCCCTGCCCTGGGCACTGTCACCTTCCCCGGCAGGGGCTGTCCCGGCGGACACGGGCACTGTCCGTGCTCCTCCTGCTGTTCCTGGTGATGCCCTGGCGCTGTCACCCTCCCCGGTGGGGCTGTCCCTGCGGACACGGGCACTGTCCGGCCTCCGGGCACTGTCCGTGCTCCTCCTGCCCGCCCTCGCGGCCGTGCCGGGCAGCTCCTGTCCCCGTCCCCTGTCCCCATCCCCTGTCCCCATCCCCTGTCCCAGGAGTGGCGGCAGCGCCTTCCCCATCCTCTCCGCTCAGGCTCTGCTTTACCCCGGGTTACCTGCTGGCTTTTTTTCTCCCTTTCTCCTGGTTCGGCGTCCCGCGAGCCACGGCGTTGCTCAGCCTGGGAGTAAATTGGCCTCAGACTCCTGGATGACAGAGGCGCGTGTCCAACCCCTGCTTTTCAGCCTGTGTTAATTAGGCTGTGCTGTGTTTTTTCCCCGCACCTGTTCCTTGATCCTGGTGACTGTCACTGGGCTGTAACAGCACCAGGATGGGACTGTGCTTTTTCTGCTGCTCCTTGGGAAAGTTGCAGGCTTTCAGAAATGCAGAACTAAGGGACACCACTGTTGTGTTTGTAAGTTGTTTGTGCAAATGCATGGAATAAAAACACAGTGTTTAAGTAAAAGTTTGGATTTTGAAAAATCTGCATTTTTCTTTCAATGTTTTTTCTTAAACTCGTAATTCTGGTTTTGCTGTTTGGTCCTGGTTGGTTTGCCGACATGGGCTTTGAAATGTTGTGAACTCATGATGTGAACAGAACATGCAGATTACCATCTTTTTGTTTGTCATTTAAGAGTGTAAAGTGGGTACAAAACACCACATTAATAGCACCCAGATGATGGGGGGGTTTTGCCAGTATCATCTGTGTAATCCAAGAGAGCATAGCAACAGCAGTGCTAACAAGTCTATTTGAAAATAAAAAATATTTAAATCCAGTGGATCTTTGAATATAAATGTCTAAAGGGTGCCAGTAAATTTACAAAGGCAATATAAGCGATCAAAAATACTGATCAGAAATTCACGATATAAATAATTCTGTTGGAACAACTGTGATTGTCAGCCACGCTGGTGGACTCCAAAGAAGTTTTTGAGTAAGCCTATTACTGGTCAAACAGAACTTGATCAGAGGTTTTGCTTTTCATTAAATAAGTAGAAAACCAATTATAGTCAAGGCAGGGAAAAATAGCCTGTATTTTATATTTTTCTTTATGTGTCTTGAAGTATAAGATGAACAGGCTCTGGGTCCTGCCTGGGACTGCACCCTTGGAGTCTTTGACTGCAGCAGGGCCCCTGTGGTGCTGTAGGATGCCAGGAGACTTCTGGAACTCAGGGTTCCAGTGATCCCTCAGCCCATGTGGGGCTCTTGGGGCTGTTTCAGTCAGGCATGTAGAAAAGGCGGCTGCTTGTGCCTTGTGTGTTCAGGCAGTGGGCAGAGTCCAAGTGGCCAGTTGTCCTCTGATTCATTTTGGAACCCAGTTTTCACAAAGCATGTCAAGATTTTTTTTCCTTTTAGCTTAAAATATGAGCCTATTCTTTTCTAAAAATAAACTTCACAAAATAGAACCTGCTTTCTATAATTCATTGGCTTTCTTCCATTTCCCTCTGTACAAAGCTGAAAAGAAATTTTCCAAGCTGTTAATTTAGTTTCATTTAGTTCTTTTCCCTTTTTCCTTTTGAATGAAAGGCTCCTTATCCTGTCTAAATATATATTCTCTTTCTCATTTTTTTGAAAAGACTCCTTCCCCATATGAGTATATTTTTGCAATAGGCTTAAAGCTTTCCTGTTGGCTGTTGAGTGTAAATTTGTAGGAAATAGAAGTACTGGGGAGAAGAGAGACTACTTGTACATTGGATTTGAAAAGCCGCTTGTTTTTGGGCTGTTACCAGCTCATGTGGTGTTCATGTGTTCACAAGCTCACTGGTTTTTCTTATAAACCTCACCATTACAGTGACCAGTGTGACATAAATAGACTCCAAGTGGAAAGTCATAGTGAAAAGAGATAGTTTGAGTGGGATTTGGAATTCCAGGAAAAGGTCAAAACTGCTTTTAATTGAAGGGAGCAGTGCATGTGGGACGCATGTCCTGGTTTTTTAATATGGCTCCCATGTGGTGTTGCTGTCTGGAAGCGGTGCTTGTTTGAGGGGAAGGGTTTCTATTTGTGGCTCAGTGGAGTCGAAATGTGTGCCTGAAGGGCGGGATGAGAGCAGAGCCGTGCTCCTCCAGGCACAGGGGCATTTGCTGGGCTCTGCCTGCAGAGTCCGGGTGTTTGAGGAGCAGCCTGCGGGGAAATGAGCAATGTGAGCAACCCGTGCTGGCCAGCCTGGTGCTCCTGGGCAGGAGGGTGGGCACAGGGCTGGGCTCCCTGGAGCCAGAGCTGCAGGGCCAGGGAGGATGGAGGGACAGGAGAGCCCTGGGCGCTTGGGAGGGACACCTGGAGCACAGACTGCGGCTCCTTTGGGTGGCAGGAGAGCCGGAGAGGGGCTTTGGGCAGGGCATGGAGGGACAGGGCACAGGGAGTGCTTCCCACTGCCAGAGGGCAGAGGCTGATAAAATGGCCTTTGGATTAGTGACCCGGGAGAAATTGGTTCGTCGGTGAATGGGGATGAAGGGATTTAGCATCAAAGAGGACAAGGAAAAGATTAATTTCCATTATGTTACAGAAAGAATGAGATAATTTAATGAAGGACAGAGTGCAGAGAGAAGGGATAGGAAGAAGTCCAAAGTCTGTGGAAGACATGAAATATAATGTGCCTATTTTTAGACAGAAAAATAAGAGGAAGATAAATTGTCTTTCTACTTGATTGTTATCTCCAGTCCTTCAAAAGTTCAAATTGTTTCATTTATGTGAGGTGGCTGGAGAGGAGTCCGAGGTGAGGGCTGGCTTACAGAATTGTACCACAGAGTGGTGAAAGTGGAAAGAAAAGATGTGTTGGTGCCAGAGGAGGGACTGCTGGAGGAGGGCACAGCAGTGGGAGCCAGCAGGGCCCTTCCTGTGCTGCCCATGCCATGGGCACACAGCCAGGGTGAGCCATGGGCCAGAGACAGGGCTGGCACAGGCTGGGCACAGGAGTCCAGGGTGAGCCATGGGCCAGAGACAGGGCTGGCACAGGCTGGGCACACGGCCAGGGTGAGCCATGGGCCAGAGACAGGGCTGGCAGAGGCTGGGCACACAGCCAGGGTGAGCCATGGGCCAGAGACAGGGCTGGCACAGGCTGGGCACACAGCCAGGGTGAGCCAACAGCCAGAGACAGGGCTGGCACAGGCTGGGCACACAGCCAGGGTGAGCCAACAGCCAGAGACAGGGCTGGCACAGGCTGGGCACAGGAGTCCAGGGTGAGCCATGAGCCAGAGACAGGGCTGGCACAGGCTGGGCACACAGCCAGGGTGAGCCATGATCCAGAGACAGGGCTGGCACAGGCTGGGCACACAGCCAGGGTGAGGGAGCAGCCAGAGACAGGGCTGGCACAGGCTGGGCACAGGAGTCCAGGGTGAGCCATGAGCCAGAGACAGGGCTGGCACAGGCTGGGCACACAGCCAGGGCAAGGCAGCAGCCAGAGACAGGGCTGGCACAGGCTGGGCACACAGCCAGGGTGAGCCATGGGCCAGAGACAGGGCTGGCACAGGCTGGGCACAGGAGTCCAGGGTGAGCCATGAGCCAGAGACAGGGCTGGCACAGGCTGGGCACACAGCCAGGGTGAGCCATGATCCAGAGACAGGGCTGGCACAGGCTGGGCACAGGAGTCCAGGGTGAGCCATGAGCCAGAGACAGGGCTGGCACAGGCTGGGCACACAGCCAGGGTGAGGCAGCAGCCAGAGACAGGGCTGGCACAGGCTGGGCACACAGCCAGAGTGAGCCATGGGCCAGAGACAGGGCTGGCACAGGCTGGGCACAGGAGTCCAGGGCGAGGCAGCAGCCAGAGACAGGGCTGGCACAGGCTGGGCACAGGAGTCCAGGGCGAGGCAGCAGCCAGAGACAGGGCTGGCATGGGCTGGGCACAGGAGTCTGTGCTGGCAGCCCCAGAGACCTCCTCAGCACCCTCTTTCTTGGAGCTGGTTACAAGAACTTAACTTTTGTTTGGAAGTTGTGTCCAGCTCTTTGAAAAGAGCAGAGCAGAAGGCTGGTGCCTGTGCTTGCCTCTGGGCAGTTGGTGTCAGGGCTCTTTGTCAGGGATGGATGAGCTGTCTCTCTGTTTCCACTTTGATACGTTTCTGCTGCCTCCCACCAATTCTGGACGTTCCTGCCACTGCTGTGACAAGGAAGTCTGATTTGTATTGTTATTCCCCATTAGGATGTAAAAATTATCCAGAAGTCTTGTTGTTGAAGATAAAGCTCAACAAATCAATTCTCTCCCTCTGAGATCCCTTCTCAGCCCTCTGAGGCTGGAATCTGTTCCTGAAAAGACAGAACTTAGCACTTAACTGCAGTTTTGCTGTATCAGTTTTTGAATTTCGGGAGCAATCTGAAAATGCCTCTCCCAGTTTGTCCTTGGCAGGAGGTCTGATGGGACGGAGCATCCCCAAAAGTGCTGTCATTCCTCTGAACCAGCTTGTGTGAAGTAGCTCTGGCTCATGGAAGCTCAGGTGGCAGCGGTGGTCTGGGTGTGGGCAGGCTGGTGGGGTTTCTGATCCCCAGGTGATCAATGTGCCCTTCCAACAGCACACAGTTCAGTGTGCCACTGCCTGATAAACACGTGGGTACGAGTGCTGTGCGCTCACACACAAAATGCACCAAGGCACCTTTCTGGAGAGAATCAGAGGGGGCTTGGGAATGAAGGGGTGAGGCCTGTCCAGTGGCATCGGGGAGGAGCATCCTCGTGTTTGTACTTTTTGCTTTAATTGTGAAAAAAGCTCCCTTCTTGAACGCACCGAGGAAACCAATAATATCACGGTATTGCTGTAAAAATAGATTTCTCTTACTTGTAATTAATTTTTGCCTTTTGTTTTTCAGCCAGAAAATTTACAGAAGAATTGGCTTCGGGAATTTTATCAGGTAAGGTAAAGTTTTTTTTCTCATGGAGTTTTATGCATCTTTGTTTATGACCTAATTAGTAATGTCAGGATCTTTTGCTCTGTGAAGTGAAATTGCTATTTTATAGTGATTTTATTTTATAGTAAAAGACGGCCCTGAAAATATGTGTCTTCCTGGATTTCTAAGTAATCATTATAAAAATTCAGCATATAAGCACAATTTGTCCTCGTCAACAATTCTCTGCCTAAAAAATAGATTCAGGTTTTATAAAATTGACTTCAGTTTGGCATGAAATGGTCTTTTTAAGTCTACTAAATAAGATATATATTTGAGTACTTAAAAAAAATCCGTTGGGAAGTTTAGTTTACCTTAAAATTGAAATACAACAATTTTGTCCTGTCTGCTCTTTCTTAACAGTTTTGTTGTTTGGTAATGTGGAAGTATTGACACTAAACCCATATTATAAAATGTGCTGTAACCCTCTGGTGTGAGGGGGTTTTTAAAAAGCCCCTCTCACACACTGTGTTATTGTAGTAGAGACTTGACTTGCAGTCTTTGTGCGGAAATGTGGTGATAAGAAGCAGGGAATGAGCACTGCTGGGGCATGGAGGTGCCATCCCTGGGCAGCAGCAGCAGCAGCAGCAGCTGAGAGCTCTGTCACTGCTGACAGAGCTTGGGCAGTCTGGAGTCCCACCGTGGGCTGCACTGGAAGGGCCTCAAGGGACCTCAAAGTCCATCTGGATGTCCTGTGCCAGAGGCAGGGACACTTCTCACTAAAACAATCTGTTCCAAGCCCTGCCTGGAACATGGAAAAGCGCACCTGGTACTGAAGGGCCACAGCATTCCTTTATCCAGTCCTACCTCTCTTACAGAAAAATAGCTAAACAACAGAATGGTGCTGTTCAAATTGTAAAGTGAAACTGTGTGCAGAAAATATGATTAGCAGAATTTCATATTTTCCTTTTGTAATTGAAAGCATCCCACAAGTCTCTACATTCTCAGGTTGCCAGTGCAGCCTGTGACCTTTATTACGTTGATGTAAAATACTGCAATTCACTTTTACTGGCAAATTACTTACTTTACTGGTAAGAGATTTGCAAAAATCCAAGGTGAAGTAACCACTCTTACATTCTTTAGTATCTGCCAACTTCAGATTCATCTCTTTATTTTTCTTCTTCCGCCTTGGTTGATCACTGCTGTATGTACATGGTGCTTGCACGATGCAAGTGTCTCAGCTAGTTCTGAGTCCAACCCTCCACAGCTTCAGGAAAAACTCTTCCTGTGCAGGAAATACAAATAAACATGGAGAACTCTTTATTTTTGGTTGGTTTTTTTTTTTGATGGCTACATACTTTTCATCACCACATGACTGATTTACGTATCTGTATCAAGGAAACTCCTTCTATGTTCATTTGTTTTCTGAAGTGGGATGAGCGCTGCAGAAGCACTTCTGAGCAGTTTGTGGAAAACAGGAAGAGGCGGGGAAGAGAGCGAGCTGCTGGTATCTCAGGGCAGGGACCACTGACACGTGACTGAGCGCGGTCTGTCTCTGGCCCAGTAAATGTTGTGTGTACAGAGCTCCAAAGAGGAATACAGTTACCCATTAATGCTCATGGTGCTAGTCTACTGCAGGGCCCAGAGCAGGGACAGTGTTGCTGAGGCAGACCCAAGCCCATCCCTCAGCTGGGGGATTCTGTTCTCTTCCCTCTCCGTACCTCTGCCCTCTGTCCCTGCAATGTGAGAAGTGTATTTTTAAAAAGAAAAAGAAAGGAAGAATAGACAGAGTTAGCAGTGCTGCCCATGGCTGCTGCTGGCCTTGTCCTGCTTCCCCTCTGGGTCTCACAGCGAGCTGGCTGCTCACGCCACGCTCTCCAGTACAGTAGGAAGTGGAACAAAACCTGACAAAAAGCTCCTTAGGGAAGAGACAAACATGTACCTGCCAAAAGTCACTTAGCACCATTCTGGCTCTGGCTTCAGAGCCACCCAGCAAATGTGCAGCCTCAGAGGGATTATTGTGTTCAATTCCACACGCTCTGTGCGAAACCTCTGTGAACTGAGGTTCAGCAGCAGCACTGGAAAATGACTCTTCGTGCCTCTTTGTAAACTTGAAACCAGATAAACCGCAGACGGCAGTTTTTCCATTCTTCTGAGGAATTCAATTTGCATATGCAGTTGTGTCAGGGCGGTTTGCATAACTTCTGAGGATGAGGGCCTTGTGTAAGCAGTCAAAATGTTCTCCACAGGAAAGGAAGAACCATTACCTCTCTAAGTTTAAAATGTTTCTAGAAATTAAACCTGTAATGTCTTTGAACTGATGTCAAAGAGCATATTGGTTAAAGAGCATTTTGTGGACTTGTTTATAAATGCCAGTAAATTAAAGTAAGGGATTTTATTGACTGTCATGGGTGAATACAAGTCACTTATGTGTTACCATTGGCTTATATGCCATATGCATTTCCAAGGACATGGTAGCATACAGAGGCCTAAAATAAGATTCAAATGTCACGCGTTCAATTTTTGAAACTTCTGCCGTTGATCTACAAATATCCTATCCTACATCATTAACATGAAAAATGTGGCAGATCTAATGCTGGTAAGTGAAACAGTTTCTCCAAGAAATGCAAATGGGAAAGAAGATATCTTCAAAGACCCCTTCCAGGCTGGTTTTAGCAGCAGCTGCTGGCATAGCTCAGAGAGCAGCACGTTGGCACTGTGCTGTGTGACAGTGGGCTCGGGGTGACAGCACCAGGGTGTCCATGTGCTCTGGCACGGCGCAGCACACGCTGTGCTCTGCTTGGCTTGTTGAGCTGGAGAGAGGGGTCCGGGTTCGGTCAAGGCCAGTGAGACGGTCAGTGACTTGGATGGTCAGTGGGACAGTCAGGGGGATGGCTCAGCAGGATCGGTCAGTGGGACAGGTCAGTGGGATCAATCAGTGGGATCGGTCAGCAGGACGGTCAGCGGGATGGTCAGTGGGACGGTCAGCGGGATGGTCAGTCACTGGGATGGACAGTGGGATGGTCAGTGGGACGGTCAGCGGGATGGTCAGTCACTGGGATGGACAGTGGGATGGGTCAGTGGGACGGGTCACTGGGATGGTCAGTGGGATGATCAGTGGGATCAGTCCCTGGGATGGTCAGTCCCTGGGATGGTCAGTCAATGGGATGGTCAGTCACTGGGATGGTCAGTGGGACGGTCAGTGGGATCAGTCAATGGGATGGTCAGTCACTGGGATGGTCAGTGGGACGGTCAGTGGGATCAGTCAGTGGGATGGTCAGTGGGATCAGTCAGTGGGATGGTCAGTGGGATGGTCAGTCAGTGGGATGATCAGTCCCTGGGATGGTCAGTGGGATGAGTCACTGGGATGGTCAGTAGGATGGTCAGTGGGATCAGTCAATGGGATGGTCAGTGGGATCAGTCCCTGGGATGGTCACTGGGATGGTCAGTCCCTGGGATGGTCAGTCCCTGGGATGGTCACTGGGATGGTCAGTCCCTGGGATGGTCAGGCCTGGGATGGTGAGCGGTGTCGCGCAGTGGCTCTGGGAGGGCACCCCGGGCCTTGCTGAGGGCTGCTCCGGGCCCAGAGCGTGCAGCAGCACCAGCCTGCGGGCAGGAGACACATCCACCCCCCGGGGCAGCCGTCTGCCTCGGCCCCGTGCTCAGCACTGCACTGTCCTGGGCTCTGGGTCACCCTCCACGCCACACGGTGCCGCTTCAGCACCAAACCTGTGCTCCTGTCAGGAGTGGAAGGGGGAAAGATGCTGTAAATCTTAGGGTTTTCAGAGTTGGCTCTGGTTTCTAATGTTCAAAGCAGAAAATTGTGTTTGCAGTTGAAGACAATCTGCTGGAATCAAAACAAAAGAAAAAAGGCTTGTGAGCAGGTATGTCACACTGTGGCCCTGATCATCGGGAATTGCATCGAAGGGTGGAAAAGCCCCCTCGGGGGGAGGCAGGATCCAGTGAAATCCTGGTGCTGGGGATTGTGCCCCATCTCGTAACTGCAGATAGGTACTGGTAACTTGGATCTGAGAGAGCTGAATTTGGACTAGTCCTCTTCCCAGTAAAAATTCCCTTACCCCAAAAACCTACACTGGAAATGAGGGGGGAAAGGGGTTGTTGGGAGAGAGTGGAAACAGCCTGAGGCAGCGTTTTGGAGTGTTTAATGTGTGATAGGGAAGACTTCAGTTCTTACCAAGAAATGGGATGACTGGTGATCGGGATGGCAGTGCTTAACAAGCAGTGGGGTGATTTGGTGAGCTCGCTGCTGTGCAAATGAGAATATGCACATGGGAGTTCTGTCCCACTTGTGCCAAGTGCCCATGCCCTGGCTGGCAGCCTCCATGTCAGTCAGTGCACAGGACAAAGACAGCAGGGGAACAAGCTCCTGGAGCATGAATGAAGCTGCTGGCCAGCAAAGGTGTAGGAGCACAGAGGGAGAACTTTTATTGACTTATTTATTTACTTAGGACTCTTTTTCCTTTTCACTCTCTCCTTTCCCCATCCCTTGCCCTTTCTCCATCTGCACTGGGCCTCATGTTTGGGGCAGGAGGAGTTCAGGAGCTGGAGCTAGTGGAAATCTGCACTGATTTTAGTAACTGCCTTTTTGTGTCACATTTGTGGCACATGGTCATTTTAGATGCAAGCTTGGAGCCAGAGGGTTTTTTCCCCTAATGCCATTTTCCATGTTGCCTGATGTGTTTGAGAGTATTTTGAGCTTTTATTTGTAGTAATGCAGAAGTTAAAAGTTTACCTAATAGCTAAAGGTCATCTTGGTATAGCTGCATGGGAACTTCGTGTGTTACCCTTCAGAGAGAAGGAAGAAAAACAAACAAAAAAGGCCCAAACCAACCAAACAAAAATATCACAAACCCCAAATCACAACAAAACCCCACCCAGCCACTCAAAGGTTGTTTAATTATTCTAGTGGACCTAATGCTGCTTTTTTAACTACAGGGGGTGATTAAGAGTTTTTTTTTTAAACTAGAGGGGGTGAAAAAGCTGTGTTGCAGCTCCTCCAAGCTGAGGTCCTGGCCCTTTCCCAGAGGGTTTTTTCCTCAGGTGGGGGCTGTTTGGGCTGTTTGTGTTGGTTTGAATCCACGGGCTGTACAAGGGTAGGGGGATGTGGGCCTGGGCTGCTGCTGTGTGCAGCCTCAGGGCTCTCCGTGCCTGTCCCCAGCAGGAGCCTCTTCTTCAGGCTTACAGGAATTGAAAATACTTGAAGTGCTTTAGGACCACACATGCTAAATTGTATTTCACAGCTCGTATTTTGCTGTCTTTTTTTAAGCAATCCTATTTGCACACCATCGAGGCTGGAGCTCCCGTTCAGCTTTGCTTGGGTTGAGGTCTGACCCTGGTGCCCTTGTCCCTGTGCCCCTCTCGGAGGGGCCTGGCCAGCAGCGTGGGGCTGTGTCTGTCTGTCTGTCCTGGCTGCTGCCCCCGTTCCAGCCTGGCTCCCCATCCCCATCCCCTGCCCAAATAGGCAAACACCTGCAGCACTGGGAAGATGTTGGCCTTGTACATTCACCAGTTCTGTGTTCATACTCAGCTGTGCTGCAGCATCTTGCTTACTTACCCACATCCCCCAAAATAACTCCTGGTTGTGGCTTCCTTTACACTATTTTTGCATATCCCGAATTGAAAATAATGCCCAACTTTGTAAATACACTGTGCTGCCGTGGATGCAAATTCATTGTTTATATGGTCTCATGTATGATCTTTAACCTCTGGCAACTGGGAGTTTTCAGCTCTGAAGTATTCATTACTCATTATTATGTGCTGTTTGTTCTTCCATAAGAGTAGAAAACTAGTAAAAGGTAATGAAGCAGAGCCAATTTGCTTTTAGTTGGAGGGTACTTATTATATGAGAGGACATAACTAATATTCAGGTATGTTCTAGTGGTTTAACCTGCAAGAAATGCCACAAGAACCTCACTGTTATTAAGCCAATGCTGTTTCCCCATCAAAAATGACATAATTCTTTTTTTTTTTTTTAATACCCACTATGATTTCAAGTTCTCAAGGATTTGTATACAAACAAAAAAACCTGTGTCCTGCATCTTCAGAGCCTGGAAGTGTTTTCTGTTGCTGCTTCAGCACAATAGAGTTGTTCTCCAGTGTTGTCTCACTGCAGGACTCCCCATTCAGGGCTCCCTGTGACTGATGGTTCCTAAATCTTACTTGAAATAGTTTATTATGTTTTTGTCTTACCAGTTTATATTTTCATGGGCTGTGTAAGAAGAGCTCTTGCGGAAGCAAACTCTCAACAGTTAAAATGAGTGACACGATGCTCAGCAGGTTCCTGAAACAGTGACAGTGGGTGTGTTGGCTTTACAGGATTAAATAGTTACACTGCTTTCTGATCATGGTGTCTTCATAGGGCTCTCCAAGTAGGTAAGGTCAGGGCTTGGAATCCAGAACTGACTGGGAGCAATGAAGCACATGGAGAATTGGGATGGCCTGATGTTAGGGTCCGCAGATGAGCTCTGTTCAGAGCTCTGCTTCACGGGCTGTGTTTGGTGAGTATTGCTCTCCAGACAGCCAACAAAATGAACCAGCCAAGTAACCTTAGTGTTGATTGTCATTTGCTGCTGCTGGCTCTGATGGCAGCCTGCTGCCAGTGGTGCCTTGGGCAGCGCCTTGGGGAGAGAGGAACATCTGTACAGGGACATCTTCTCAGCAACAGTGTCTCAGCTGTTTGTAAATCTATGATAGGAAATATGTATCAGAGGAAAAGCATGTCCCAGTTCAGTATAATTTCTTGCATTTCAGATATGGTTTTAGACATCTGGTCTGTCACCTGCTTTTTTTTTTTTTTCCCCAATTAAACTTAATATTGGGTCCTGCTCTGGCTCATTCTCCATCCCTACCGATGGTGGCATGCTTTAAAGCAAGTTGCTGATATCCCTGTTGACAGCAACCAGCATTAATAATCTAATGGAAGTGCTCAGTGATCATCAAACACCTAAGTGGGAGTATTTACTTTTTCCCTTTATGCAGTAATGCTGCAGCAGCAGCTCCCCTCAGAATGCTTGCCCAAGCAGGTCAGTGCCAAGATGTTCCAATGCCCAGGAAGCTGAGGCACAGAGAAGTGGCTGTTGGAAGTGACTCAGAAGCGCACGGCAGGCAGGACGTTCCCTTCCCTCTGCAGGGGTGACCTGGTGAGGGCTGGCAGTGCTGTCTGGAGCTCCCTGTGTGACCGGGCTGTGGCAGCACACCGGGTTCTCCTTGCCTCTGGCGGGGCTCCCAGTGCCCTCTGCTGCTGGGGCCCGCTGGCACGGAGGGGCTGTGCTGGGCACTGATGGAGGGGAGCCGTGTGCCAGGAGCGTCCCTGGGGAGGGAGGGCCGAGCTGCCCGTGCTGCCCGTGCTGCCCGTGCTGCCCGTGCTGCCCGTGCTGCCCGTGCTGCCCGTGCTGCCCGTGCTGCCCGTGCTGGCCTGGCCCTGCTGTGCCCCAGGAGCCGGGGCAGGGTCCGGCACTGCCTCCTGCGGGCCCTCCCTGCTGCTGCTGCCCCCGAGCCGGGCAGCTCTGCCGCTTCAAAGCAGGGACCCGGGACTGCCTCTGGCTCAATGGAACCTGCTGCACTTCAGATTCTTTAATTCATTGTCTTTGAGCTGAATTGTCTAACGAGGTTATTTGTGCAATCAGGAATGAAGGATTTTGCACTCTGTCATCACATCAAATGGCAGTTTCTCTCCTCTGTTGTTTCAAAGACACATCTGCAACTGTTGTGGTGTCCCCTCCCTGGAAGTGTTCACGGCCAGGCTGGGCAGGGCGGGGAGCAGCCTGCCCGATGGAAGGTTTCCCTGCCGGTGGGGTGAAATGAGATAAGCTTTAAGGTCCCTTTCAACTCAAACCGTTCTGTGATTCCATGATTCCTAAAGACCTTTTAACAGTGATATTAGTCACTGTTGATTTAAGTAACTAAAAGCAGGAGTGCAAAAGTGTTCCATGTCTGTGCCTTTTGAGAGTTGCAGGGCAGAAAGGGGGAGCAGTCCCTTTTGTCTTCCCTCGCTGTGTGTGTTGAGGTTCGAGCCCTGCAGTGCCAGCGGGGCAGGCGCTGTGACCCTGAGGGCAGAGCCCCCCCTGAGCCCTGCCCAGGAGCTGCTGCAGGGGCTGCCAGAGCCCCCCGAGCCCTGCCCAGGAGCTGCTGCTGCTGCTGCTGCCAGAGCCCCCCGAGCCCTGCCCAGGAGCTGCTGCTGCTGCTGCCAGAGCCCCCCGAGCCCTGCCCAGGAGCTGCTGCTGCTGCCAGAGCCCCCTGAGCCCTGCCCTGCAGGGGTTGCCAGAGCCCCCCGAGCCCTGCCCTGCAGGGGCTGCCAGAGCCCCCCACCCCTCCTGCCAGGGCTGCACGGGCAGCGTGGCCTCTGTGTCACCCACAAGCAACGAGGGGATCCCATTTGGAGTTTAACTGTTCGCTCCGTGTATGCTTGCACGGGCACGTTGTTGGTTGTTTTGGACTGTTCCCTTTTAAAATTGGTCTGGAGCTTGTGTCCATCAATTCACAATAAGACATGGAATACAAGGTATAGAGACTCAATATTAAAAGAGACACTTTGGATGTGCTGTTTGCAGCTCTGAATAGAGGCAAAGCAGAGAAAATTCCATAGGACAGAGTAACACTGAATGCTATAAACTATATTTGATTTGAGATATGAGGAAAGGCAGACATTCTAGGGTTTTGGTATGGTAATTGCATCCTAGTGCTGACTGTGTAGTATCTAAGATATTTGCAGTGTTCAAGACTTAACACCTGGAATAGCATGATGGATTTCCATGTCTCCAGTGTTAACAAGTGTGTATGTGCATCTGTTAATTAAATACTTTTGTAAATAAGATACTCCATAAATAAAAATATCAAACACAACTGCATAAGTGCTGCTAAACAGCGCTGAGAAGTTTTGTAAAAGTTGAAAAAAAATCCACTCTAGCAAATGAATTGTTTGAACTCTTCTACCTCCCAGACAAGGAAAGGTTTGGCTCATCTTAATCATGTCAAGTCATCTTTGAGGGGAGATGGAAAAATACATTTACATTTTAAATAAAAATACTAAAATATATTTAAAATATATACACAGCCCAGGAACTAAATCATAGTTTAAAAAAGGAAATATTAGTTAAGAATACTGGAGATCATAATTGTGTATTATGCATCTTTTATGTGGATAGCAGATGATGCTCCTTGCTGGTTGCTGTGCCCGTGACCTCTCAGGTAGCAGCTGCCAGTCCTCCCTGAGCACCCAGGTCCGCGTGGTTCTTGCTGTGTGCTGAGCTGTGACACAGCCGTGCTGAGCGTTAAAACTCGCTTTTCTCTCTGTTCCAGGTTGTCCATGCACACAAGCCCCATTTCATGGCTTTACACTGTCAAGAATTCGGAGGGAAAAACTATGAAGCTTCAATGTCTCATGTGGACAAGTTCGTGAAGTAAGTGGCGGGGGCTATAGCCTGGCCCCCGAGCCGGGGACAAGGGCAGGAGCGGTCAGTCAGCGGTAGAACGTGCCGGGATTATTTATCCCGGTTTTATTTAATTTATGCCGGTTTAATTTCTCCCAGTTTAATTGGTCGGGCTGGGAGGGAACGCGGGCAGCGCCGCGAGCCGCGGCCGCGCGCGCCCTCTGCTGGCGGCGGCGGGAGCCGCGCGCTCGGGGTCGCGCTCGGGGTCGCGCTCGGGCTGCGGCAGCGGCGGCACAAATCCCCCAAATTCCCCCGGTGGTGTCGGCCCCACAGACCCGCGCCCTTCCCAGCCCTGTCCAAATGGCACTGGGAAGCTGACGATCCGCACCGAAGGTGCAGCTGATGAGGGCAGATCTGGAGTGTGCGGGCAGGTGTCGGGGACAGCTGTGTCCCTGAAATTCCCCCCAGAGGACAAGGGAGGCCCTGGGTTCCTTTGGGTGATGCTGGGGATGTCACAGCACAGAGCAGTGCTGAGGCAAGGCAGTACATTCGTATCTCCCTTTACATGCTCAGTCTTTTCTTTCTCTTTCAGAGAACTGTTATCAAGTGATGCAATGAAAGACTACAACAGAGCTCGAGTTTACCTGGATGAGAACTATAAATCACAGGAACATTTCACGGTAAATTTCTTTATTTCATGAGTGTAGTTTAACCGAAGGTGAATTTCTTCTGTTTGGGACTTTTGACCCATGTGGGACTGTGAGCTGTTTCCATCCTGATGATGATTATGTTTTTACTACTACTGCGTTTTACTACTAAGAGTGTTTATTCCGTGGCATGTGTACCTGCTGATTTCACAGAGGTCCATCCATGTGAAATAAGCAGAATATCAGTGTGCAGTGTCTTTTGTTCAGAAGGGTTGTCTGAGGTCTTTTTTCCTCCAACACTAACTTTGGCAGCTCAGAATCACCTTCCATTCCAGAGCCTGTCAGTGTCTGGCAGTGTGAGGTGGCGCCAGCACTGAGTGTGATGAGCTTGGCAAGGGTTCAGGGCTTGTGTACGGATCCCCAGAGCTGGCTCACAGCCTCCCTGGCCTGAGGCATGGTGGCAGCAGCCAGAGCACAAGTTTGCATTAGCACACGAGCGGTGTTCAGGTACATGTGTGCGGGGCTGCCTTTGCTGCAGAGCAGAAAGGCTTCTGTGCTTGCTGCCAGTGCTGTGCATTGTGCCAGCACGTCTGCTGTGTGTCCAAGTGATCACTGTGAGGTTGTACAGGAGAAAACAACCCTTTGGACATCTCCCTTCTTCCCAGGGCAGAAGCTTCCTTCTCCCCCAGTTGCAATGTCCCCAGTTCAAGAGCTAATGTGGTTTCTTGTTTCACATATCAGCATTATTTTCCAGGCACTGTGTTTCTTGCAATATTCCCCAACCACCTTTGTACTTTTCCTTTTCTTTTCATAAATATTACTTTGCATTTTTTTTCCTAATCCTTCATTTACTAAAGCTGGGCCTTCCAGGGGAAAAAAAAGTTCTGTCAACATATTGATTCAATAAAGGGGAAAAGAAAAAAAAGACAGCTAGTGCCAATGTTGTTTTCCATGGAAATTATGTAACCAAAAACATGTTCTTACTGTTTGGTTAAATTACCCTCTGTAAAAGTGGTGACTGTAAAGATAAAAAATGGGTTTACAGAAGTGTTTGATGTGTACTCCACGTGATAGGCTGTTTGTGACTTTAAGAACCTTTTAGAGCTGAATCTGCTTAGTGTGGAAAAGGCAGAATGCAAAGGCAGAGCAATTATTCAATGATGTTTTGTGTTACTGTCACTGGGAGGAAATGCTGCATGCTAGAGGAGTGTTTTATACCTTCATTGTTAGACTGTGGTAGTAGTGGCTTGCAACCAAAGCCCAAAAACCTAGAAAGGAGAGAGGGTGCACTTTCACGTTGAGCTCCTTAATCTTCTGACTTGTTAGAGTCTGTTTCTTGGCACTGAATGCTCCCAGTCTGCATTCACAGATCCTGGCACTGGTGTCAGGAATCAAAGATTCATAGAAATGGTTTTTCACACTTGATTTGAACTGGCAGAGCTCCAGCTCCTCTGCTGCATGTGTGTGTATGTGTGGCTGTGCAAGCAGGGGTTTCACATGTGGTGTGTCCATTTAGGGTAAAGTTTTGCTCTTATCTCCTGTGTGGTTTGCCTGGTATGATGTCACGTGTCTCTGTGTTTCTTGTCAGTTCTATTTGATTGCAAAGTTCTGTAACTTCTGTGGGCTTTTTTCCATCCCTTCTAAGGCACAGACTTGGCACAGATGGTAGCTTTGGCGTTATATTATTACCTCTCTGAAATAGAAATGTTTATCATATATTGCTGTATAATGCTATTTGCTTTAGAAAGGGAGAAGCCCAAGTAGTTACAGTTTGGCTAACCTTTATCCCTGCTGCTCTCACGTCCCCTTTTTTACCAGTTTTGGCATCACTTCCTCTGTAAGGCTTTCCTTGGCTTGGCTCCTGCAGAACTAAACCAGATTTTGCTGCCCACAGTTACTCAGCTTGGCCGTGATAGGACTGGCAGCAAGATCTGAGACAGCACTATCAGTGGCCTCTGTCGCCAGCTCACAGCAGCACAGGTGCAAATTGCACATGAGAAATAAGAAACCAGTGTAATAATGAGGTGTCTCTAGTGGAGCCACTTGGTTTTAAAAACTAATAATCCACATTGTATGAAGGATCAAAATGGATGGTTTTGCATCATCCCAGACATAAATCTTAATACCAATTATGGTCACATATACCAAATCTGGTGTACAAGCAGCTGGTTTTAGGTCTGGGGAGTGGGGTAGGTGCTGTGATGAGGGAGAGAGCTGTGGTTCAGTGGATTGTGTTTGTTCTGCTAGCAATGATGGTAGGGTGAGACTGCGTGGGATTTTCTCACAGTCAAAACTTATTAACCACATGCACAGAATGAGCCCCAGAGCAGCGAGTGCAAGGCTGGGGAAGGTGCTGGGGCAGCAGGTCCCTGTCCCAGGGAGGGGTCAGCCCGCAGGGTCAGGCTGGGCGTGCAGCTTGGGGCAGTGACTGCTGGCACAGGGCGTTCATTAGGGCCAGGCCTTGGGGGCAGCAGGGCTGTCACAGGTGCACGGGGATGAAGTGTTCGTGTCACACCTGGGAGAGGCACAGCTCTCTCAGATTTAAAAATGATAAAATGACCTGAAGATGAATCTCTTGGCAGAGAGCTGCTGCATTAGAGCTGATGCCTGTCAGCGCTGGGAAGGGGGCAGTGCTGGAGCTCAGAGCTTCCAGCAGTTATGGATGAGGACGGTGGGTGACAGCCTCCGCAGGGCTGACAATGGCTTCCCAGAAATTTCAGATTAACTAAACTGGCAGCTGTGCTGCTGTCTCAGTTCTGACTGGAAATACCAATAGCAGTCAAGGGTGGATAAACTGGCTCATGTGCTAAATTTCAGAACTCAAATAACTTGGCAAATCCTTGTGAAACAAGGATTTGTAAATCCTGTAAATCCTGTTTGAAAGCATGGTGCTTTCTTTTGTTGTATAAAATGTTATATAGGGGGCAGATCTTGATTGCTGTTGAAGAGTGTACAATTAATGAAAAGACACGTATAAGAAGACTGAAATAGGTAAAAATCTGAGAAGCTGAAAAATTCAGTACATTGTGGGTTTTTTTTGTGTCTATACTGAATGGACTTCACTTGTAGCAAAGTAGGTCTTTGCAGTTCCATAGATTTTACCAAACATCCCATTATTTACATTCTCTGTTAATTTTATTGTACTTGGTATATTTCATGTAAGGGGTAAATTATAAATCTTGTCATTTTTCTATGTGAAGAATTACTCAAAAATAGTTGGGTGCGTTGAACTTTTGCATGTCAATACTTCTTGAATAACCCAAGTTAATGGTAAATAAGGTGGTTTTTTTCTGGAATAAGAAAATGTACTAAAGGTAAATATCAGTCAGAAATACATTGATGTTTTCATCAAATCCATAACTATTTTTATATGAAAACACATCAGTATAATCAGTGACATTTTTATTGTAATGAGATCAAGTCTAGTTTTGTTTTGTGCCGTGTATTTATTGATTTCTGGAGTACTCAGTTAAGGTCTTGCATTGCTTAGCAAATCCTTGGCTTCCTTTTCATTGTTCAGAGAAGGCAGAGGAAACTCCTGTGTATCTTAAAGCCTTCTTGCTGCCTTGAACATGTGGTTTCTGTAGGTTGGGAGAGAATCTTTGCTGGAGTACATCAGGCAAACCAGACCTCCAAGGGTGAGCTGACCTGAGCTCTCCTGCCTGGAGTGTTCAGGGAGCATTTTGAGAGCTGTGTGGCTGGCACAGCCCTTAGCTGATGGGCAGAAGCATCTGCACAGTGGGGTAATTGCTCTACTCCCCAGTATAGGCTTATTTTTAAAAAATAAACAGAGTCTTCCATTGTCTGTGTGGCTGCCCAGGCCCACAGGTGACCTTGCAATGAACAAACAGAACAAATAACCACTGGGCTCTATGTGATGTGCTGAAGTTCCAGCCTCCTCCTCCTGGTAACAGCGCAGTGCACTGCAATTAGTTCATTGTATAGCAAGGTTTCATTCAAATTAAAAAAACAGAACAAAACCCATCCTTTCAAAACCAGTGTTTCTGACATTAGAGTGATGTGTTTAAACAACACTGGAGCCTCAAGCTGCAAGCAGAATTTTATTAATACCGATGGATTGAAGGGAGAGAGGATGCTGTGCTTGCACAGCTCCCCGTGTTTGTGAGATAATGGTTGAAATGAAACATCCCTGCAATAACCTCCTGGGGGGTGGACAAAGTGAGTTATAAGTGAAGAATCCAGTGGTAGCAGGCATTTTCCTGACCAGCTCTCCTCCCGCAGCCCTGCGGTTCCGTTACTGAGGCAGAGCGGTGTGGGTGCCGGAGGTGGCAGAGGCAGCAGTCAGCCAGCACCCATGTGGTCTCCGGCCATCGCGCCCCTCTCCATGGGCATGGATCCTGGGGATGTGGGGAGCTGACTGTCCCTCTGGCTGTCCCTCTGGCTGCCCCTGCCATCTGCACTGGTGCTTGGTGGTGCCCCTGCACCCATGGGGCAGGACGGGCTCACTGGTGGCCCCAGGCCATGCAGCACCCGGTGCTCCTCGCCGGGGGTGCTGGCACCAGACTGTGGGAACACTGCGGATAAAACAAGTCCAGGCATTGCTAGGGCGTGCAGGAAAAGGTTGTGCTTTCTTTTTTTCCCCCGGATTGTTTTTAGTTCACACACTCTGTACCAGTATTTTTTTTAATGTAAAATGGCTCCTACTGCAGGGTGGATAATGCACTGGTAGCCTGCAGCAGCATCCAGGGCAGACCTTTGCTCCAGTCACTATCCTTAAGAGCAATAACCTGAGCCAGCATGACAGGGGGCTCCAGTGGGGGAGCAGTGGTCCTGAGAATACAGATGGGCAACATGTTATTCAAGTGTGTTATTGTACCTTAAAATTATATCTGCTCGTTACTGAGAGAATAGTAAAGTTAATTTTTGTTAGATTAATGATACTTGAGTAATATTTTTGGTTGAGCTGAGTTCAAATAATTGGCCATTAATTGAAAAAGGAAATTGAAATTAATTTATTTTACACATAAATCCTGTCGTAGTTATTAATGCATCTTAGAAAATATCGTCCTGTT